CTTTGTTTGCCCTTTATATTTTTTTCTGCATTCTTTAACGACTTGTGTCTTTGTACTCTCACCATAGATTTGCTTTTTGTCCATTTTTCCCAAGCATTTACCATTGTCTTATTTGCTGCCAGCCCTATTCTTGGCAGTAACTGTGAGTAAGTAATTTAAATCCCACTGTTGAAAAGACCAACTGCCAACCTGGTCTCTTATACTGCTCTTTGGGTGCAAGCCCCCAAATAACATGATGCAGTGATTCATTAGCATTTTGAGTAGCGCACTTTTCACAGCCAGCACGAAAGTTTGCATCACCCAAGCGATAAAGAGCATCTTTGATAGCATCCCACAATAGCAGGTGGGAATGGATTCTTTATAGGTACATGCAGTGTGGTATTGTTGGCAATATCCCTTTGATATGTGCACCAGGAATCCTTTCCAATAGGGCAGTTATCATGTTGGGGTTTCTTCTCAGAGCTGGCATAATGATACATGATAACTTTGGTAGCTTTAGCCATTGCCCAGTCATCTTTATATTGGCAAATAGAAAGACCATCAAAACTTTCAATTGAATCAATTCTGGCAATGGTTAATCTACCAGCTCCACTCAGACCTTTACCATCTGTCAACATTTTCCCTTTTGAAAAGAAAAAATAAATATGTAATTTTTTCTTCATGGCAGATATCCCTCGAGTCTCTATGTCTTACTAGCCCACATCAGCTGAGATCAACTTTGAACCACAAGGATGGGGAAAATGTGTTGTACATTTTGGATGCTGCACCGTGCAGAGATGATGTGTGGAGGGTGGAACACCTCTATTTTACTTGTACATTATAAGTTATTAAGACTAAATTACCTTTGTCATCATGCACAAGTGATCTCAGATTTGAACCCTTTTGTTTGGTTACATGGGAAATACAATCCACTTTTGGAATGAAAACAGATTGTCCATATGGCTTCTTTATGCAAACCCAACTGTACGAAGAACAATCACCATTGCCAATAAAGGGAATATAATGAATGGTGCACTTCTCAATTGAGCAATGATATAATTGCATTACTCCAAATGATTCCATTGCCTAAAATAAATAGTTTAAGATACATTAACAATTAGGTACTACAGAGTACAAAATCAAATAGGATACTAGCAATGTGAAAACAAGGGCAGAATTTACTAGTCATCGGGATCCTCCTGTGAAATTTAAAGATGTAACTTGTACTGCATCTTATAAGAAAATTATCACACGTTTTAATCTGAGTGTGGTATAAAAAAATTGGGAGTGAACATGTTCACCACAATCTGTCGATTGTTGGTCTGAGATTCAGACCGCACCCCCTGTACAATCTGCCACTTCACCAGTTGTTCTGTTTAGGTGCTTCAGCTGTGAGACAGCCTGATTGGCTGTCACCTGTCCCGCTCTATTTTTCAACTCTGTTGCACATGGCACGAGGCTAAAACACTAGTGAATGTGGGTATGTATTTTGTGAACAACCATTAATATCCATTGTGTTATGGCAGAATTTTTTAGCCTTGTGTGATGTGCAACAGAGTTAAAAATACAGCAGGACAGGTGACAGCCTAATAGATTTGGCTATACAAAACGACAGCAAAAATTTTTTTGAAATGAAATTCACTTCTACTATTGAACATGATTGGCTACTAAAATTCACTGACAATGTGTATAAAAGCCATGGCAGGTAGAACGAAATTTGTTAATACATATAAAAATAAATTAACTGGAAATTTTATTAAAGTATATATCTCTTCATTTTCCAAATATTTTAATTGTTTGATACGCAAATAAATTAAATCATTCACATTTTTTATTTATTTTTTATTTTATTTTTTATTTTTTACGCCCTTAAAAAATATCAAGTTATTTACATTTATTTTTCTATTGTTTTGGATAGGCTAGGAGCCTTCTAGAAACCTACTAGGCTTTTTAATTAAGACCCCTATAGACTATACTTACATTAGGGCCATTTATACGTGACAAAATAAGTCGCGACTTACACAAGACGCGACTTAAATAAGTGGAGTTATCGCATAAATGGTTCTCTACGGCTTTGGTCTTATTCATTTGCTATAGCTATAATGTTGTTTTGGTTGTTTTTGTTTTAATATGCAAGGCTTTAAATTTTACGTTGTTTCAAGTTTCTGGCATGTCTAGTTAGACTTTTTGTCCAAAATTTCTTATTTAAGACGCGACTTAAATAAGAACAGCTAAAAGACCTGTTCTTATGTAAGATGCGTCTTATCCAAGACGCGTCTTACATAAGAATTTTGTACCTTTTATACGACATACTCGCGTCTTACCTAAGTCGCGTCTTATGTAAGTCGCGTCTTATTTTGTTCCGTATAAATGGCCCTATTGTTTCATTCTATTTAGTCAGTTCGAATAATATATTAGATTGAACAAAGATAAATGCGTATATAACAAGTATAAATAAAACATTAACATGCATAAAAACTTAATTATATATATTCGAAGTGGAGGATACTATATATGTATATTTACAGTAAAGAAAGTGATAATATGTTTTAAACCATTATACATCCATTGTTGAATATATGATTTTTTATTTTAATTTTAAAAGTACTATAAGAGAAAATAGATTTGTATTTAGATGCTATGCTATTCCAAACATCGACTCCTCTGTTAGAAAGAATATGGATTACATAATTCGTTCTTTTATAAGTCTTGTGAAGCTTAATTAGTTGCATTCCTTGTGCAATGGTCATGTATTTTATTATTGGGTATGAAATAATTTACGAATGTTTCTGGTAAATTCTTCAAATTATGATATCGAAACATAAATAAACTTGTTAGGTATTGATTCAATTTATAAATGCTTAGTATTTTTAACTCCTTAAATATTGGTTCGGTATGTTCAAAGTAAGAATTAAACGTCATTAGACGAATAATCTTTTTTCTGAATATTTACTAATTTTTGTGTTCTCTTTTTGTATGTGTTACCCCATATTAGATTGCCATAAATAAGATATGGATAGACTAATGCATAATAAATTAATTTAAGAGCTTTCAAGTTTATGAAATGTCGGATCCTGACAATGACTGCTGTTGATTTTATAATTTTCTTTGATATTTGCTCTAGATGATCATTCCATGTCAAACATTCATCAACAACAATACCCAAAAATGTTGTCTTTCTAACTTGCTCAATAATTTTATTATTTAAATAAATTGTTATATTATGTTCTTGTTTTTTCCTTCTCGAGGACCGAAATACAATAAACTTTGTTTTTTCTGTATTTATAGATAGTTTATTAATATTTAACCAAACAGCTATTTTATTTATTTCCTCTTGTATTGTTTGGTTTAATGTTTTAAGGCAAGCGTGACTATAAAATATGGTTGTGTCATCAGCAAATAATATATTTGAAATAATATTGCTACAATTCTGGATATCATTTATATACAAAAGAAATAACAAAGGTCCCAGTACTGGTCCTTGAGGAACACCAATTGTAATTGTCATATCTTTTGATTTTATTTGGTTAAACTTTACAATATGCTTTCTGTTCTTTAAATAATTTTCAAACCAGTCTTTGGATATACCCCTTATACCATAATATTCCAGTTTTTTAATGAGAATCTTGTGATTAATCGTATCAAATGCTTTTGATAAATCAAGGAAAATACCAATAGTGTATTTCCCCTGATCTATTGCTCTTGTAATTTTATCAACGAGCTCAATAATCGCATGCTCTGTTGACCTGCCTTTTCTAAACCCATATTGATTTGTTGATAAAACTTTATTTTTTTCAATGAATTTCATTAATCTTTTGCACATTAGTTTTTCCAATAATTTTGAAAAACAAGAAAGAACTGATATTGGTCGATAGTTTGTAAATTTATTATTTTCATTTGCTTTGTAAACCGGAGTTACTACGGCAACTTTTAATTTGTCAGGAATAATTCCATTGAGAAATGTTAAATTGAAAATATGTGTCAATGGTTTAGAAACTTCCTTTGCATGTGATTTAACTATTTTAATGCTAATATCGTCGTGTCCAGGACTTTTATTTGGATTCATACTATTTATTTCAATTACTAATTCATTTTCAGTAATCAGATCAAGAAACATACTGTTGGGATAATTACTAGTGAGGTAATTATCAAAAGTCATGCCTGGGTTCTCTTTAATTTTTTTGCTAGATTTGGTCCAACATTGATAAAGTATTCATTGAATCCATTAGCTATTTTCTTTGGATCATCTATTATATCCACGGAATTGTTTCCAACAAAAGATTTTGGCATTTCCTTCTTTTTCCTATTTTTATTAAGAGCTTTATTTAAGATATACCATATCATCTTTGTATCGTTTTTATATTTTATTAGTTGCTCTTAATTTTATATTTTATTAGTTGCTCATAATACAGTTTCTTTGACACTTTTATTATACAATTTAATTTATTTTTATATCTTTTATAGGTATTTTCATTCCTTTTATTCGAGTTTAGTAAGTATGCCTTGTAAAGTTTATGTTTCCTATTTACTGATTTTAAGATGGAGTATGTCATCCATGGGCTCTTATTATTATCAATCTTTTCTTTAATCAATTTTACTGGAAAGCTTGTTTCATAAGCTTCTGTAAAAGATTGGGAAAATTTGTCAAAAGCCTCTTCAGGATTATTATTATCAATTATATTGTCCCATGATATATTTTTTATTGTATTTGTGAAAGATTTAATATTTGCATTATTAATTACTTGTTTATATTTTGAGGTTTTGGTAACTTTTTTTCTTATATTAAAACTATTACTATCCATATTACATATATGTACTATTGGCAAATGATCTGAGATGTCGCTAAAAATAATTCCGTTGAGACTAGAATCAATATTTTCAATGTTGGTGAAAATATTGTCAATAAGTGTTGCAGTGTGAGCAGTTATTCTTGTTGGCTTTGTTATGAGTGGATAATAAGGGACGGACCATTAGAAAAGTGATGGGGGGATTTTCTAAGAGGCAATATTTTTTTTTTTGTACACCTATAGAAGAAATATATTTTTTTTCTCACTTGATGGTTGGAAATATATTTTTTTTAAGTGAAATTTATAGGCCTATCAGTGGTGTAGTTCTGGAATGTTAACAAGGGGGCTCTCCAAAGTGTCCTGAATTGGCGGGAGGGGTGTACAATAAGATATTTTGGAAATTCTAAATTTTGTTGGGGTTTATTCTAGAAATTGTGGGACAAACATTCAACGTTATTCTTATTAAAAACAAAGGGACTGAAAGCGAGGGCCGAAGGCCCGAGGAAATTTTTAAATTTAGAGTCTCTGAAATGCCATTTCCTGGACTTTGGGTAAGATTTGACAGAATTCTGATGGTCAGAAAACAGCGTTTTAGTATGTCGAAATTTACAATTTAGTAGTATTAAATGGGCGAAGGCGTATTTAGTTAACTATATATTGGATAAATTGCAGGAAATTATGGGTAATATCTTCATTCTTTGCAATTTGTCATGGATAATGTAGCAGCTTACAATTAATCAACTGTCAGTGTTTTAAAGATATATTATTTAAATGTATCGAGTAGCTAAAGATTTGTCCTTGGCACATATGGTAAAGACTCTACAATGTTTGAGCTTCTGACCGTATAGTAATGACGTAAACTTTATATAGGTCTATGCGCCGAGGGGACTGACCAAACCTTGGCAGCCTATACTTGCAATGGGGGGCGGTGAGCTAACCTGTGCCTTGCCCGCGGTAGGAACGAGTGCTGCCTGCTCTCTCAGGCAAAATGTCTCTTCACCCTGCTGACGAACGCTAGAGGACACATGATTTTGTCAAAAGAATGATTATTAGCAAATTATGGGGGGGGGGGGCTGCAGCCCCAAGCCCCTCCCGTTGATACAGCCCTGGATAGAGTTTAAATCAGACAAAACAGGATCGGTATTTCAACAGCCAATTTGCTACGGCGCATGAACAACGCGGTATAAAGATTACCAAAATCATTATTGTGTTAAGTGATGACTGAAAATGAGATACAATTCTAAAGAACATTCTCGTTTACTGATATTTTTGTGTGTGTTTTTGACGTTGTTAAGATTATGCAACGCGCCAAAAACATAGGGGGCTCAGCCCCTCCAAGTCAACATGAAATTTTAACAAGGGGTGCTAAGCACCCTCGAGCCCTCCCTCCACTACACCACTTGGCCTATCTTCTAAGCAAGGAATATTTTTTTTTGCTCTATGCGTGGGAAGATTTTTTTTTTCTTAATTTTTTTCTGGAAATAAATTTTTTTTTTGGTTTTGCCCCCCCCCCCCATCACTTTTCTAATGGTCCGTCCCTAAGAAGATGTGAAAAGTTGTTCGGTAAATTGGCCTGCATAATCACAAGATTCCGATTTAAGTAGATCAATATTAAAGTCCCCCATAAGATAGCCAATTTTATTTTCTTTATCGATTTTCTCTAATATTCTTTTCATTGAGTTTTCAAATGTGTCAATCTTATGATTTGGTGGCCTATAGATTGTTCCTACAATCATATTCTTACCTTTAGATGTACATATTTCGATAAAAGAGGTTTCAATTCCATTTTCTACGTTTATACTTATGTCATTTCGAGTTTTATATTGCAATTGTTTCGAGACATACATGCCTACCCCTCCACCTCTTTTATTTTCTCTATTTGATCCTATATAATCATAGTCTGGTAAATTAAAATTGTCTTTGTTTATATCATTCAACCATGTTTCGGTTAATCCTATAATTTGAAACGATTTATTTAATGACGTTACTAAATCTTTCAACTTTTCAAATTTATTTGTTATACTTCTTATATTTAAATGTAGTAGCGCAAAATTATTTTTGTTATTAATTTCTTTAGTTTCTTCATTAAAATCATTTGGTAAATAATAATTGCAGTTAACTTTATTCACCTCAAAAGACATGTCAAGGTTGACATTGTTTTCACTTAAGGCTATATCATTATTTTTTTTAAATGGATTGAATTTCAATTGGTTTAGTCTATCCATATCAATTTGACAGAATCTGTTTTCCGAATCGTGGTTTATAAGATTAAATTCATTGCTGGAGAGTGAATGAAATGGCAAGGAGTCAACAGTGTTACTACCAGACATAACTAAATATTAAAGTTACTGAACTGAGGCAATATAATAAAAGCATACATACTAGTACTATAGTGCACTGAAATATGATATCTTAGCATCATGTCGGCTTGTAAAATACTTGTCCTTCGATTATGAGTTTGTCCCTTACAAGTTTTGCCTTCTTTCCCGCTTCCCTGGCTTTTTTCAACTCTGGATATAATTCCCTACGTATCTTAACAATTTCGTCAGGAAATTGTTCTCCAATTGCTATGTTTGAACCCCTTAATTTCTTTGCGTTGAGACAAATATTCTCCCGATCTTGATAGAAATTAAATTTCGCAATAATTGGTCGCGGCTTTTCAGCTGCTTGTTTCTGTCTACCCAATCTGTGTGATCTATCAATCTTGATTTTCTTGGATGCGTCTTCTAAGTGTAGCTTTTCCTCAAGTAACTTATGGATAATATTTGTGGTATCTTCGTCTTTAGATTCGGGAATGTTATAAAAAATCAGATTATCGCGCATTGACCTTGATTTAAGGTCAATGACGCTCTTGTTTAGAATTTCGTTCTCTTTCTCTAGTTTCTCGATTTGCTCTTTTGTTGTTTCATCAGTTTTCTTTCGAGTTTTGTTGTCTTTCTTAAGTTCTCTTACTTCTGTGTGTGCGAATTCAATTGATTCTTTCACACTCTTTAAATCGCTTTCTACTGTCTTTACTCTCGTGTCAATGGAATCCAATTTCTCAAGTTTCTTCATCATAGCCTTCATCATATCATGGATACTTTTTAAATTTATAGTTTCTCCATCCTCAGATTGATCTACGATGTTCTCCTCACTGTTAGCTTTTGAAAGTTTGCTTCGAACTGGTTTTGTGGGCGTACTAGTGCTAGATATATTCAAGGATTGCGCAGTGCGCTTACCAGCCTGCTTCTTCGACGCCATCTTAAACATTTGTATTGATAGATCAATTTACTAGGAAATTAATCTGTGGAATTTCAATAGGAATTTGTGTATTGCTGTATATCACAACTTTGGTACAAACATGCTACTTGTCATAATGAGATGGTGCTGCAAAAGGACAGCTGTCATTCCCTTCAAGTCAACCCAAAGAATGTGAATTTCTTTGTTCCACAGGCGTGATCCAATTTGTTTGATTCAATTGGTTTGTCATGAAGCTCATGTCCAAGAATGCCATAATGCATGCTGATTAGCATTTCAATGCAGTCTGCAAGCCAAGCTATCTGTAAAATACATGAAAAGATATATTATTTTTTTGAGAAATCACAAGCTCATGGAACATCTATCTGCCCTCTTTATTTCGCCTATCAAAACTTGTCGTTCAGATGCCACCGAACTATGACTATCCCAGGGTATGACACATCGACTATGTAGAGAGTTGTAGAATTTTTTCTGGGGATTAAACATAACTAAGGTATCCAAAAAAGGTAATTGATTATCTCTGGGTAACTCAAGTGTAAATTGGATGGCTTTATTTAATATATATATATATATATATATATATATATATATATATATATATATATATATATATATATATATATATAGATATATAGATATATATATATATATATATAGATATATAGATATATAGATATATATATAGATATATAGATATATAGATATAGATATAGATAGAGATAGAGATAGAGATAGAGATAGAGATAGAGATAGAGATAGAGATAGAGATATAGATATAGATATAGATATAGATATAGATATAGATATAGATATAGATATAGATATAGATATAGATATATAGATAT